GCCCTGCGCCCGCCGGCCCGTGTCACCGGGTGGGCACCCGGCGCCCTCCGTCCCGCGGCACGGCGCGGGCACCCGGCCCCCGCGGGGGACGCGAACACGCCGGGCCCTGGGCCGAACAAAGAGCCGCTGGTCGCTGTGGGGCAGAGCGGTGGGAGCCCTGGTCGCTGTGGGGCAGAGCAGTGGGAGCCAGGCTCCCGGGTGGCCGGAGCAGGGGGCAGGCCCGGGAAGGGGAGGAAGGGGCTCCTCCGGCGCGAGGGCCCCGATGGTCTGCGGTGGATGAGCCTCCGGCTGCCAGACAAAGCCGGAGGGGCGAGGACGGAGGCAGCTCCTGATGTGCGCCAGCAGCCCTCCAGCTTCCAGAAGCCTTATTTCCCCCCCAAAAAAATCCCCAACCTTTCTCCCTCTAACGAGTCCCTTGCCTGGGACTCGGGAGGCCGGTGAACAGGCCCCCCCGGAAGGTGGCAGCGGCTCCGGGAAGGCTGGGGGGTGTTGCAGCCTGGAGAAACCCGCACCGCGCCGTGCTGTGACGAGGCGGCGACATGTTTCCCGCAGCTCCGGGTTCCCCCCGCAGCGCCAGGCACTCTCCTCTAGCGCCCTTGGGCTCCCTGTGCCGCCTTGTCATGCTCGCTCTCGGCAGCCGGGAGCCCCTGTCCTCCCCCGGCTCGAGGGGGATGAGGGCAGTGTTTTGGGACCAAAGGTCTGGCCAGCCTGGGCATGGGGTAAATAAACACCTGAGCTGCGCCGCAGTTGGCAGGAGGAGCAGGAAGCAGCTGGGTAGGCGCAGCAGTGTTAAGCCCAGGCACCTCCAAGGAGCACGAGGGAGAGGTGTGGAGACTTTGACCTTGCAGTGCTGTTGCATAAAAGCTTGATTTCCTCGCAGAGAACCACCGTGAACGGGTATGAATTTGGCTGTGTCCTTAGGGGTTCACCTGCTCTCGTGGCCTGGCCTTTATGGCGGCCCTGGGCGCACAGGGAAGGGAGCAGGGACGTTGCAGAGCCCTTCACGCTACCCTGAGTAGCGCCGGGGGGGGTGCTGGATGCGACTGCAGCATCTCCTGACGCTCGCCCTGGGCACAGCCCGCACGTCAGGCAGATGTCCGTGGACACCGCAGCTCCTGGGAATTGTTCTGCCTGCTTGGATGCCGCGGCACCGTCAGGAGGAGACAGTGACTCCGGCTGCGTGTTTTATAGCGCAGGGCTCCTGGCTGCAGAGCTGAAGCTGGGGAGAGAGCGATGCTGGTTCTGGCTTCGCTCCAGCTCGCTCAGCTCTCATCCTCGCTAGCCTAGAAACGCGCTTTAATGGTATTTTGCTGCAGTCGCGGGCGCAGCAGATGCGGGGTGGATTTGGGTGGCTGCTGCGGACGTGAGTGAGTGTCGGAAAGCAAGGTCTTGTCAGCTGATGTGGCAGGGCCGGTGCCAGCATGGTGGGGGCGACAGATGAAGGCTGCTGTTCCCCCGGCCTGCGGGGCCTCGGGTCTAGAGAGGAGCGACTGATCTGGTGCCAGGGCAGCTTCTCGCTCTTCCTTGTCGCAGTGGTGCTCGTGCCACGGGATCAGGCTTTGGTAACGTAACTACCTGTGTAGGGGAGGCTCCTGTCTGTGCGTGCACCTCTGAGAGTCGCAAATCTGTTTCCTTAGCCCTAGTTGGAAACCCAAGGGGTCTTGCAGCCTGCCGGTTCACACGGGCTTGCTCAGCACAAGGTTCCTGGCAGCTGGCGTCACACTTGGCTAGAGCGGGCAGGAGCCCTGTCCTTGGGAGGGGAATCGAACCTTGGGACAGGGCCCTGGAGCAGTTGGGAGATCTCTGTCTTGAGAGATAATTGAGCCTGGCCTGGATACAGCCCTTGAATCTCTGATTTAGGTGTCCCTGCTTTGGGTGAGGGACAGACAAGAGACCTGTATGTGTCCCTTCCAAGTGGTGCAAGAGACTTTTATGTGGGAGTCTCTTGTACATACATGGGATCAACTGTGCATCTGTCTGACTTCTGTGTCTGTCTTTAGTGCAAGAGAGGTCCAGGCTGGAGGCTGGGAATAGGGAAGACTCTGGGGCAGATGATGGAGCTCCCAGGAGCCCCTTTGTTGGCAGCAGGGTGAGAAGGCTCCTAAACCAGAGTCAAATGATGGTGCTGGAGGTCTTGGCTGGAGTGGAATCCCCTGGCCTTGGGATCGCTGCTCAGAGACTTGCGTTCCCAGGTTGGCTAGGAGTTTGCAGGATGCCAAAACCCATATGACCTTCTGCTTGCGTGCTCTCCATGGCTCTGTGAGACGGTGATCCTMTCCCCTTACAAAGGGAGCAGGAGGTGTACCAGGCGTTCTTGGCAGTGGTTTTGAGCAGGATGGCACACCATTCCTGTGCTGCATGCCAGCCTCAGCACCTGTATACTGCCAGCACTGCCGCTGTCCTTCCTTTGAGGAGTTGGGCATTTCTCCTTTAACTTCTGGCTCTTCCTACCTGCAGCAGTTCTCACCACCCTGAGGCTCCCTGTCTGCCCATCTGTCTTTCCACTTGCAAAACCTCCTTCTCTCGCTTTCGTTTCCGAATCCAAAGCCTCCAGGGCTCTGTGTGTGTGTGTGTGTCCAGTTGCTTGGAGCTGCCGGGCTCTCGGGCACTGTGCAGAGCTGACTCCTTTCCCGTGCTCCCTGTGTCAGAGCAGCGCTGGACACAGCGGCCTGGCGGGCGTGACTTGGCAGCACCCGCGTGTCCCTCTTCTGTGACGCTGCTGTGGGGTGCCTGGGCACAAGGAGGTGGCAGCGTGACCCTCGCCTGGTGGCTCTGCCGCAGGAACTTCCCAGCCTCTCTCTTGGCTTCTCTGCTGATGCCACCATGTGAAAAACGGGAGAAAACTTGCGCTAGTGACACAGCCTCTGTAACGGCTGCCGTGCTGTGACTCTGTTTGCTTTTTACTGCTGTTGTTTTAATTCTGAATGCCTAAGGTGTTAGGTCTGGGTTTCGTTTTAGCTTCTCTTAGGAGTGGATGCTCAGAAACTGCCAATCTCAGTCTTGGCTTAATTAGAAACTGGCCAGTCTTCCCTGAGCTCTTGGTCTGCGTAGTTTAATGGTGATGAGCTTGTGAGCTTGCTGAGGTGCAAAGGAAATAAGAATCATCCCTGCTTTCTTGCAGGAAGGTGTGTGTGTGTGGTTGGTGGGTTGTTTTTTTTTTTTTTTCCCTGCAGAAGAACATGCTGTTGAAACTTGTGCTTGCTCCTACACAGAAAGGACAGGCAGGCCACCCACAGCACGAAGGAAGCTGCAGTCACTGTCTTGACAGGGCTGCTTGTACAAGTTTTGGCTCTTCCTTGTGTCTTCTACCATATGCCTTGCCCAAGGGTGTGTGGGAAGGCAGCGAAGGGAGYTGACATTGATGAGGTTCAGGTAATGGCCACCCTGGATGGTAGTTGACTCCTACTTTTTTTTATTATTTTATTCTCTTTATTTATTTTGATGATAAATTTATTGCTCCCTGTGGTCTTCCAGCATCAGGCATCACAGTCTAAACTTTAAGATTCACTTGGATCTGTTGGATCTGGTGTCCTCATTTCTGCCCTGGCTCTGGGGCACCGGCAGCAAAGCTTCCAGCTCTTTCCTCTTGGAGCTCCTGCACGTTGTTTTCGGAGGCGGCAGAGTGGGCTGATGAAATTCCTGGTGCTCAGCAATTGCCTGATGATGCACTCGAGGAGGGAAGTTTCTGCTTAGGAAGAAGGTTTCTGCCTGGCGGGATGTGCTGCCTGCCGCATTCCCGGCTCCTTGCGCTGCCCTGCCAGAAAGCTGGGTGCCTCCCCGGCCCTCCCGCAATGCTCTTCCAAAGGAGAGCCGGGTGCTGCTGCAAAGCCAGGCTGCTCCAGCAGCTCCCTGTGCTTGGGGAAGACGTGCCAACTAGAGCAGAAAACGTYGCCGGAGACCTGGGCGCCCGCTGCGCGCCGAGGAGGGGCTGGCAGCTCCGGTGTGCAAGAGTGCCGATGGGCAAAGCCCCCTTTCTCCCTATGCCCAAGCTGCCCAGCCTGCACCCCCCTGCCGGAGGGCCACGGGTGGTGTTGGCCCTTCTCCGAGGCGATATTTTTGCCCTGCACACAAGGCGCTGGCTTTGCTCCGCTGGGCGCGTGGGAGCGGGGAGGGCGCTGACGCTGCAGCCTCGGCCGTGCCCRGCCCTCCTCTTGGTTGCCATAGAGCGTGTTTGCTCTGCCAAGGGCTCTGCGCTGGGTGCAGCCCGGTGCTGGCCCCCGGGAGAGCTGCAAATAAGGTGCTGCTGCTGCTGGAGGGAGAGGAGAGCGTTTCTCACCYGTGCTCGTGGGCACTCTTGCCTGTGGCAGGAGGTGGCAGTGTTTAAGTGGCTTCTCTGCAGTCCTCCCTGTCCCCTTTTCGGCACTTGCGCTGTCCCATTCCTCTCCCRAGTGCTGTCCCCTGGTCTTACACCTTCAGTGGGGAGTGTCCGGCCTCCCTTGCTTGCCTGGGACATGAGAGCCTCTCGGTACCTGGCAGAGCTCTGCCCCTAGACTGCTGCAGTTGGCCCGGCGTGTAAGGGGCAGCGGTGAGGGGGTTTGCACAGCCCAAGAGATGAGGCACGTCACTACTGGCATCTCTCGAGGATTGTTATGTGCTATTCTGGGGTAGGTTAAGTCCGATATGCCATGGGTCAGGGCATTTCATTTATTTTTCCTTCTCAGGTGCTCTGAAATGTTGAAATTTCTGGGGAAGAGGGGAAAAAAAAAAAAAAAAAAAAAAAAAAAAAAAAAAAAAAAAAAAAAGGTCCTGGGGTGTCTGTGAAGCGCTTTTGGGCTTTCCCTGCTGGAAAGACTGGAACAAGCCAGCATGTTGCTGGCATAGAGATGTCGCTACTTTAACACGCAGCTTGGAGACTCCTCAGTTGAGGAGTCATTCTTTGCACTGTGGAATTGAGACTGATTTCCTATGGATCTGGGTCTCATCTGACTCTGCAGTTGAGCAAGGTGTGAGCTTGGTGGATGGGGGTGGCCTTTCCACCCTCCAAATGTGTCTGTAGTGTGCTTAGTGAAGGAGGTAGGAAAGCTCAGCCTCTCCATATGGCTTTCTGTTATGCTTCCTTGAGAACAGCCACTGTTTCCTGACTAACACTGTCCTGGGAGGGACAAATGCAGAGGTGTGAGCTCTGGGGGCTCCTGAGCTTTAGGTTTGGGTTTGTGCTGTTGTGCTTCGAGCCTCGGACTGAGCTTCTTGCAGGGCTTGAAGGTGGTGGTGGGTCTGTTTTGCCCTTTGGTGGTTGTGGGCACCCATTTTGGCATCAGGGCAGCACTGGGATGCTGGATATTGGATGCTTGCTTTTCCTGGCTGTATCCCGTTCCTGGCTTAAGGAGCCAGGAATCGGTGCATATCTCCTCCTGAAACAYGCTCACCAGCAGCAGGCTTGTCTTAGAGTTTGTTTTTTTCCTCCCTTGTTGCTTTAGCACATAAATTTCTCTGCAGATGTTGTGTACTGGTTGGGAAAAAAGAGAACCTGGGGAATCTCTCCGTCTCACAGTAGTCCAAGCCCTATTTTCCTACACAAATGGGTAAATGTAACAGACCAGGTGTGAAATATTTGAGTGTGAAGCACAAAATGGTCTGGGTGGCCRCAGTTGGGGAACATCAGGCACCGAGGAGGGAAGGATGTCGGGTGGATCTGCATGGGGCTGGTGCTGCTTGTGGGTCAGGAGCTAAATGCGAGTCCAGTGTTGTGGCTTTGTGTGGGAGAATGGTCAATTCCTGCTGGAAGGTATGAACAGAAGCCCAGTCTTTAGGCAATGTGAAGTGCCATCCTGAGGAGCCCTTGGGCTGGCAGCGAGGCAGGTGAARCCATGCCAGGGTTATCCTAGTACAACTTGAGCAGTCGGCGCGTGCAGACGTGCTGTGCTTAATGTTGGCATTTCCATGTCCTTTATCACCACGGGGGCTCTTGTCTGCTGGGGGCTGAGATTTTTCAGGGTCTGCTTTCAGTCCGGGAATTTCTTGGCTGCTCTGACAAGTGCCCAGGTGCCTCCCAGTCTGAGAGGTGCCATTCTAGTGAGAGGCAATGGAAACCTTTAGATTGGCAGCCCTCCGCTTTCTGCTCCATTCCTTGCAGTCAGGAGAGGCACTGAGCTCTGCCAGCCTTCCCGCCCAAGTGATTTGGGGGCAGGAGCTGCGCGTGTCTTGCAGCCTCAGCTGCCGACTGCAGCTCTCTGCTCCTAAGTGGGAACTAAATCAGCTTTCCTCAGTGCCGGGGGCGTGGGGGTGTTGGAGGTCAAGGCTCCTTCTGGCCTGTTCGTCCGCTGTCCGTGTGGGCCTCCTGCGGCGACTGCTGGCACGCCGTGCTGCAGAAGCAGGGGCACGTGCCCGGGATTTGCTGCTGCCAAAAGGAAAGGAGAAGGTGGCAGGGAAGGGGAGGGAGCCAGTTGTAGCCTGACTGGCTGCCTGAGGAGGCTTAYGCCTGATAACCTGCAGAAATGTTACTGAAGCTCCTGAGTTTTGTTTCTCCCTCTGTGCAGGGCTGCAGAAACAGGACTATGTCCACCATGGTGTACCCAAGGGAGGAGAAACTGGACAAGCTGAGCCAAGAGGAGATTATTTCCAACACCAAACTGGTGATGCAAGGGCTGGAGGCACTCAAGAATGAACACAACTCCATCCTGCACAGCCTGCTGGAGACCATCAAGTGCCTGAAGAAGGATGAAGAAGCCAACCTTGTGCATGAAAAATCCAACCTGCTCCGCAAATCAGTGGAAATGATAGAACTGGGGCTTGGGGAAGCTCAGGTGAGARGGTCAAGGGCCCTTGCAGGTGGCTTTTGGGGCTTTAGGCAATTGGGAGCTGTTTGGGCAGGCAGGCAGGCACTTGACTGTCTTCCATATGCTGCAAGGGGCAAGAGACCTGAATGTGGAAGGTCAAGACTGGCATTGAGGGTGGGCCAAGAACATGCATGTTGGGAAGGGGGCAAAGAATAGAGGGTTGTGGTAGGTACTGACTGACCAATTGGGATTTTTGGCAAGGTGATGATGGCCTTGTCGAATCATCTGAACGCCGTGGAGTCAGAGAAGCAGAAACTGCGTGCTCAGGTGCGGAGACTGTGCCAGGAGAATCAGTGGCTGCGTGACGAGCTCGCCAACACCCAGCAGAAGCTGCAGCGCAGTGAGCAGACCGTGGCACAGCTGGAGGAGGAGAAGAAACACCTTGAATTCATGAACCAGCTGAAGAAGTATGATGAGGATGTCTCTCCTTCGGTATGCCCTTGCCGGGGGGAACAGCTGCCTGGGAAGAAGATAGGATTGGGCCCAGTGGAATTGCCTAGGTTTAATAGCCACAACCATTACCAGCTTCCTTGCCCAGCAGTTCTTGCAACCAAAGGGATATCACATGGATCAGGATCTTGGGCAGACCATGAGAAAGGGTGCCAACGTGTATTGGGGGATGTTGCCTAGCTTCATTGGGTGGAAGGGGGAAGAGTGGCAGAGATCCCAGAGAAGCTGAGGGCCTTGGGCTGCTGAGTGGAGGAAGGATTGGTAGTGCGTTTGTCCCAGGATGCTGCTGTCTGAGAACCAACTGCATTGTGATCCCCATTCCTTTTAGGAGGAGAAGGAGGGTGACTCCACCAAGGACTCTCTGGATGATCTGTTTCCAAAYGAGGAGGAGGAGCATGGTCCTGGATGTAAGTGTTTGTACTCATGCGTGGTTGCTGCCACCCTCTGTTTCAGTCTGTTTGCCCAACATGCCCCTGTTTATTCATCCGTGCCCACAGTGCCCCATCAGCACAGCAGTGCAGTGGCAGCAGCCCAGCAGGGAGGCTATGAGATCCCCGCACGCTTGCGCACCCTTCACAACCTTGTCATCCAGTACGCCTCTCAAGGACGCTACGAGGTGGCTGTGCCACTCTGCAAGCAAGCGCTGGAGGACCTGGAGAAGACATCAGGCCACGACCACCCTGATGTGGCTACTATGCTCAACATCCTGGCTCTGGTATACAGGTGAGCATGGTGGGGAAAGCAGGACTTGGGTCATCAGAGCATTCTATCTCTCCTCTTTGCCAGAAAAAGAGTTGTGGGGGCAAGGAACTCCTCTAGCTTCCAGGGCGTTGCTTTTTTGAAAAGGTTTTGGCCTGGATGAAGGATTTAGGCTGYCCAGCTATTCCAGTATAAATAAAGAGTGGCTAAGATAGGGATGAAGGGAGAAGTGGAAGGACTGTGTGGGCTGTGGTGCCTAAACACCCAAGAACTAATAGACTTTGTACTTCAGGGATCAGAATAAATACAAAGAGGCAGCACACCTCCTGAATGACGCGCTTTCCATCCGTGAGAAGACCCTGGGCAAAGATCACCCAGCGGTGAGTGTTTCCCTTTGATTGCTTCCCTTATCCAGTGGGCCCCAATGGGACTGGAATGGTGTCCCCTGGAAGGCATATCCGTGGCCAAACCCTTTCATGCTGGGCTGCTCTGGAGAGCAGTGTGCCCTGTGATATGAAGGGTGCCACTCTCACAGTGTGGGGACTCTCTTTTGCCTTCTTCATTGTGGCTTGTCAGGAGTRACTGACTTCTCCTGGATGGATGCCCTGATTCAGGCAGGGTAGTCTTCTACCCTGGAAAGTCTCTGGAGCCTTTCCTCTGGAAGCAGCTGTACTGCAGGGATAAAGTAAATGGGACAGTTACTGGCATTGCCACCGGTGTTGCCTCCCCTTGTTTGATCCTGCTTTGTTTCACAGAGAAGCTTATGTCCCTGCAGGTGGCAGCAACCTTGAACAATCTGGCTGTTCTCTATGGCAAGAGAGGGAAGTACAAAGAAGCAGAGCCGTTATGTAAGCGAGCCTTGGAGATCCGTGAGAAGGTACCAGTCCCCCATGCTCTCCTTCCAGCTCTCTGTGAGGCTCTTCCCCCAGTACCTCASTGCGTCTGGGAGATCCAGAACCCAGTATTGCTTAGAAAGAAGGGTGAGCCTCTGTCTTGAAAAGTGGCTCTTACTTCCATCCAGCTTGTTCCTAGTGTTGATCATGCTGCTAACTTGCCTSTCTCTCCAGTGTCGTTTCTGGTGTTAGAGGGCTTGGGAAGAGGTGGAAGGCCTGATTTCTCCTCTTAGCTTCTGTTGTCCTTGGCTCCTGGATAGCATAGGCACATCCTAAAGGGACCGCAGCGCTTGCTTGCTACCTTGCTGTCATTGCTAGTGTGCTGGACAGGGAATTAGCATGCGAGAGTGACCTGGCTAGGGCCAGAACTGCCAGGCTGTCCCCAGGAACCTACTGCAGTGTTTGTSTAGTCAAATTGTGGCTTTTGAAGTTTTATGACTTCTCTTCTCTGGCTTCCCTAGGTCCTAGGCAAAGACCATCCTGATGTGGCCAAGCAGCTGAACAACCTAGCCCTGTTGTGCCAGAACCAAGGCAAATATGAGGAGGTGGAGTACTATTACTGCAGAGCGTTGGAGATCTACGAGAACCGCCTGGGTCCTGATGACCCCAATGTGGCTAAGACTAAAAACAACCTGGTGAGATCATAGCAAGAAACAGTGTGTCAATGGAGAGTGGCTTGTGGGGCAAGCATTGCCTGGCGTGTGGAGGAAGTGGGGAGGAGGCTGGGAAGGGAGAAGGTTAATCTGTGGGGCTGAAGGGCTGCTTAATCTGGCAGCAGGGCTGGAGCTGTGTTTTCTTGGTTGCAGGCTTCCTGTTACCTGAAGCAAGGCAAATACAAGGATGCGGAGGTGCTATATAAGGAGATCCTCACCCGTGCTCATGTGAAGGAGTTTGGCTCTGTGGATGGTTTGTACAAGAGCTGTTGGAGTTGGAGGGATGTGAAGTTTGGTCTCYTGTCATTCAGCCCTATCTTGGCTGATTCTGACAACCTACTGGCAGAARGAGGGGGTGCCCTGTGAGATTTCCTGCTTGGAGCGGTCCTTGAGATACTGTCATTCTTGTCTTGTATCCCACCTTTYCTCTCAGGAGGGGATCTTAGAGCTCTTATTCAATGTTTGCCAAGTTGGTCACTGTTGTGGCTAAAAGAGAGGGCATCAAGTGAAACAGCTGTTCTTAGTGAGTACTAAAGTCTCTGTTGTACTCCTGGAATGGGCATCCTGCCATGGGAGGATGTGTTCCTTGCTTCCATTGCTGTGTCACCTGTCCTTTTTGGTGGTCTGGCCAGTAGCTGTAAGCTTAGTCACCTCCCTCTGGTGAGCCACTGGCTTTGGGGATGGTCTTCACTGGGCTCTTTGGGAGGCAGTCCCAAAGGAAGCAGCAGAGTGGCAGGATGAAGTGGTTAGTGGAGCTTTGCTGTGTTCTTCCCTGCAGACGAGCACAAGCCAATCTGGATGCATGCAGAAGAGAGAGAGGAGATGAGCAAGGTGAGTCTGAGCTGGTGTTGAAGCCTGCTGATAGCAGCGAAAGCCCTGGAAGGGGAAGGAGGTCCTGGGGTACTCTCTCCCATTACAAATAGACCCTCTTTCCTGCAGTGGACAAGGGCCAAGAAGAGTCCCTGTGGGCCCTTCTGGAGTGGGGAAAAGACATGACTGCTCTTTGGGGCTGTGGGATTTGGATGCTCTTTGGGCCTGATGCTCTTCCTGAAGCTGGAGCAGCTTCAGCCCTGCTGCCTGTGTGCACTCTCTCTCTCTTTGCTTGAGCAAGTCCTGTAGAGCATGCAGATGGACAATGGCAGATGGCAGTGCCACAGGGCATTGGCCCTGTGCCTCAAAGAGCTGCTAGTACTTGGAGCACTGCTCCCAAAGCACTCCCAMGGCTGCTGGGGAAAAAGGGAGACCAAGAAGGCACTGCTGCTGTCACCTTGCAAATCCAGCTTGGGTTGCACTGGTCTTAGCTGCATCTTGTTCTAGCTGTTCCCTGAACAAAGGCAGAGGGGTATTGCACCTGCCTTGAACTTGGCTGAACTTAGGCTTTCCACAAGCCCAAGATTTTTTGTTTGTTTATTTGTTTTGCTTTTTTCTTTGTTTGTTTTGGTTTTTGGCGGGGGAGTGAAGAAGTGGGATGAAGGTCTCTGGGCTGTCTCAGTCTGCAGTGGGAGCAGATGTTGGCTCTCCTCTTTTTTTCCCCTCTGAGCCGAGCCTATGAAGGCTTAGCTTGCAGGCCTGCCTTAGCCTTTTGTTGTTTCCACCCTGTGAACCCTTGAGAAGTAGGGTCGTGGCAGCTGCTGCCTGCTGTCTCCTGCAGCCTCCCTGCATCCTCCCATCAAACTGCTCTGTGGGGTCCCTAGTGCCCACCGAGTGCCCTGTGAGGCCCATAACTGTCATGTCACTTCCTGCTGTGGCACCACCCCTCACAGGAGCAATCAAAGGCTGAATAGGGACTGGGCTCCCCTTGCCYGCCCTGGGGTTTAGGTGCTCCTTGTGGTCTCTTTGGAGAGGTGGGAGATGAAATGTAGATATTTCAGTGTGAAGCTGTGCTCCAGCTAGCTGGCTTTGCTTCAGCGGTAAGAGATGAGGCTGCCTCTGTAGTATTGCCTTCAGGGGATACTTGGGGTAGGAGAGGAGCCAGGAATGATCTCTGGGGCCTTGTTTGGGCACCAGTTTTAGAAGGAGATGAGTATTTCTTGGTGAGGGGAGCTCAGAAAAGGGAGATTCATCTTGCAGCCTGAGGCCATGGCCGAGTCCCTTCTCGCAGCCCTGGGGCTGCTACTTCTGGGACTGCTGCCTCCAGAGCAGCTGTGGCCAAATGGTGCAGTTGGCATAGCCCTCACAGCAGTGAGCAGTGAAGGGTGACAGCAGCTCTGCTTGTACTGCTGGCCCATGGCCTGGTGCTTCTGCTCTCTGTTTTATGCTGTTTTTTCAAATCTCCTGTTAAAAAACAACAACAACAAAATCCTTGTAGAGCTTCGCTTCTTTTTCCCTCACTCTCTTTTCCCCTTCATTTTCACTGGCAGGGGCAGGCAAGCTTCCCTACCCATGGTAGAGCCTTGGGGCTTTCAGCTTATGGAAACCTGTAAATAAAATGGTCGAGGTGTTTTGAATCTCAGGCTTTCTTGTCCTCGGGGCTGTCCAGGCTTTGGGGAAGGAACCCCAAGTGTCCCCCTTGGCTCAGGGAAGCTCCAGCGCGTGGCATAAAGCTCCTACGACTGGTGTTGTGGCTGAGCAGGAGAAAGGACCCCTGTGAGGGGACTTCCTCTGTGGTTCTAGCCCTTTCTGGAAGGAAACCTAAAGCTTCAGAGCTTTGGCACCTTCCAGAGCCTTGGACCTTGGTGAGAGCAGCTCTTCCATGCTTGGAGCTGAGCAGGGTACTACCTGACCGGCCTGTGCATCATGTGGGTGCCCCAGGGTGCCTGGACAGGCAACCCCCCTCCCGCAGCAGTGGTGATTCCTGCCTGCGGGCCCCATTACCTTGGGTGGCCAAAGCAGTGCTTGCCACCCRGTCATGCCAACCCATTTCCTTCTTCCCCCATGCTCGGTGATAGGATTTGCATGCTATGTTTCTAGAGGTTGTAGGTGGTCCTGGTGTGCTGGGCAAGACCTGTCATCATTTGGGGACTGGTCCTGGGACTCGGCTTAGGCTGGAGGATCACAACAGGCAGATGGCTAACGCTTCTCCCGTCTCCCCTCTCCTCATCCCGCAGAGCAAGCACAGAGATAGCGCTCCCTACGCTGAGTACGGCGGCTGGTACAAGGCCTGCAAGGTTAGCAGGTAAGAGGAGGTGCCGGCAGCTGCAGGCTCTGCCAGGAGGTGCCTGCTGGGCTCCTCCTCACCTTCCATCTGTCTCTGCAGCCCAACGGTGAACACTACCCTGAGGAATCTGGGTGCGCTGTACCGGCGCCAGGGCAAGCTCGAGGCAGCCGAGACCTTGGAAGAGTGCGCGATTCGCTCTCGGCGGCAGGTAACCCTTGCGGGACCATCTGCAGGGACTGGGGGGAACTATGCTATGATGCAACCTGCCACCCCTAGGTGCTCTTTGGCTCGGTGGGCTGTCGTGTGCTTTATGGCCTCTCGTGCCCCTAGGGAACGTGCACTCAATGCTGGCACTTCGTGGTGGTTGTGGTTAYGTTTGTGTATGCAGTTGAGGCATGCAGGTGCTTGCATGCGCATGGGGATGTGCAAGCACATGCATGTGTAGGAGGGATGTGTATGTTGTGGGGTGTGTGTCTGCATGAGTGTGGAGGAAGCAAGCACATCTCAGTGCAGAAGCACCTAGCTGGAGCAGGACAGAGACCCTGGCTTTGCTTGTAGTTGAGGAGATTTGTCTTGAAATCTCTTGTTCCTGATGGTTTCTAGCCTATGGGACTCTCTAGAGATTTTCAGGAAGCTTTTTCCACTCTAAACTCCTCTTGATCATCAAAGAGCAAGTGGGAGTTGTTTATGCTCAGCATGGGAACTGAGGGACCACAAAAACTTTGGTGTACTGACTCATGAAGGAACAAAATTGTCAGCTTTGCCACTTGCCCTTCTCCCAAGGGTGGCAGGTAGCTTGGAAGGGAGCTGGAGTGTGAACAGAGACTGCTGAGAGTTGAAGCATGGCTCTCCCTCCAGCCAAGGAAGGTTAGGCCGTGATGGGGCAACGGTCAAGAGATGGATGGAGTTAGGCAGAGCAATAGCACAGCAGAACCCTAGAGGGGAAGGAGCATGGAAGGACAAAGCTGTGAGCACTTCCTTGTCCCTTCTGCTTGCAGGGCATCGACCCAATCAACCAGACCAAGGTGGTGGAGATCCTTAAGGAAGGCAATGGAACAGAGAGGCGACGGAGCCTGGGTGGCGGCGTCAAGTACGAGAATGCCACAGACGGTAGTGAGGAAGTGAGTATGGGCGTGGAATGGAGCGGGGTAAGTACAAGACACCATCAAGAACGGCCTCGGCTGGCTGCCGGAGGCAGGAGACAGCCTGGCTCAGGGCTCTCCACACGTGGCCTGTCGTGGCATCCTTGTCTGCTTCCATTTGTTCCCTGCACACTTCCCTCTACTCTTTCTTGGCATGAGCCAGCAGGCCTACAGAGGTGCGTGTCTGGGCCCAGCTTCTGTTTTATCTAGTCCGGGTATTCCTAACTGATGGCTCCTCCTTTGGAAGAGTGCTGTCAGGTCCTGGCAACACACAGCACAAGCTGGTCCTGGCCTGCCCTTAATCTTAGCCCTGACACTGTTATTAACACTTCTCCCTACTACTCACCTCTTGAGACCCCTTGGCTGAGAGCATCGGCCCCCTCTCAGGCCCAGGCAGCTGCGGGGGTGGCTTGGCTGGCTGTCCTGCACCGTGCCACAGGCAGGCCGAGGCTGGGGAGATCTGCGCCTGGGTGCGACTGTAGGCACAGGGAATATAGTCCACAGCTCATGTCTTTTTCTGTCGCCCTCTCCTGGTCTCATGCAGAGGTGATAAAGGCAGGTCCTTGCTGGAAGCCAGGCCAGGCTGACCAGTGATGGCGAAAGACGATAGTGTTAGTTGAGACTTAAGAAGGGTGATTTGAAGGTGCTTAGGCTTGCTCTGATACCRAAAAGCACTCGGGTCATGAGCTCTGAGTTTGGAGCAGTGCAGTGGTTCAGGTCTGAGACAAATGATTTTCAGCCTCCGTAAGGAGGAGAACGGAAGAGCAGCATGTGAGCATTGTGCTGGATGGGTGCCTGGCTCAAGGGCTACAAGAGCTATTAATGCTGCCTGTGCCTTGCTGGGGCTGTAGCTGGGACCATAGTGGAGCAAGTATCTATGGGTGGTTGTGGCCACAAGCAAAGCACTGAGTACACAAATGACTCCCTCCTCGTGTGTGCTGTCACTAACTCTTCCCCCATGTGGCTTGCCTCCATCCTCCCCCTGCATGGTGAGCTCCCTCCCTTCCTCCTTCCTCTTCTCTGTTGCCATGACAGCCCCTTGGATCCAAAGCCTGAAGCCGCTGGCTCTCTTGATTGTGGATTGTACCCAGGAGGTGGCTAGAGGGGACCTTGGGCAGCTCAGCTGCAAAGGGAGTGTCCTCTAGATGCAGCACTGTCCCCTGTCCCAATCCGAAGGAGGGTCCTAGCCCTGGCAAGGCACCAACCCTGGACCTTGTGCTCCCTGTCACCAGAGGGGCTGGATGAGTGAGGAGGAAGGGCTGTGAGTCGAGGTTAGGATACTAACCTCGACTGCCCTTACGTCCTGGTCAGTATCTCTCTGCAGCTCTTCCTGGCTCTGCTGCTGGTGGTCTGAGAGCCCTTGCTGGTGGTCTCTGAGCTGCTCATGCCGCCCCCTCCCTCAGCCCAGCCAAGAGCACTTGTGCTGTTGGGCTGTCCCTGCACATATATTCCTTCCCCAGGGGCCTCTGGCCCAGCCACTGGCGGGATTTGGGAGCTAGCTCAGCGCCCCAGGGATATGGGCGCTGACACATGTTCCCAGCTGCCTTCCCTGAYCTTCTGCAGAAGTAACCAGCTCCCTCTCCCCAGCCTGCAGCCCTGATGGAAAGGAGGCTAAGACAGGTCCTCCTGCTTCTGCCTGTCACAGACGTTCCTCTCTGAGCTGGCTGTCCCCACCCACCTGCTGAGGGTGCTGGCTGGGATGTAAACCCTAGTACTCCAGTCTCCCAAGTCTCCCTGCTTGTCTGCAGTGTCCCTGTGGGCAGCCTGGGCACTGCTCTGTGTGCCGCTGGGATTACCTGTATCCTCATGGCCTTGTAAATTGTGTCTTTCTCCTCTCTGTGCACTAGGCTTAAATGCCTCCCGAGACTCCCTCTTTCCCCTCCACCGCAATCACCTGGATGTTTGTGTTATACCTTCTGACTTTTCCTCCACACCATCCCTCCTTCCTCGTCAAGATCTCCGTGCCAGTCCCCAAACCTTCCCAGCGCGCGAGGCCACCGCAGCAGCGCCTGCAGAGGAGCTCAGGGCCCAGCTCCAGCCCTGTGGCCAGCAAGAGCAGGAAGAAGCGGCGTGGAGCTGGCTGCTCCCCCGGCCAGGGCGAGGGACCGCCGTCCCCTTGTGTATCACCACCCCCTCCCCAGCCTGCCCTTGCACCTCCCCAGGGAGCTGGGCATCAAGCCTGCAGGGACTGTCTTCGCTCCAGGCGTGCCGACTCTACCATCATTAGACGTCCTCAACTGTCCTAACTTGTCCCTTCCGTCTCTGCAGAAGCCAGGATGGAGGCATGAAGATGGGGGACAGCTTTTGGAGACGCAGTGGCCTTGTGTTGCCCTGTACACGGGCACTTCCTTCCCTGTAGGCTTAGCTGACGTTAGTGCCTCRCAGCTAGCTGGTGCTGGCCCCCACAGTGCCAGGCTCTCTCTGGGGCATGGGGCCGTGGGTGTCCCTGTCCTGCCATTCTCCTGCTGAGGTCCACCACCCTGGGCAGCATGTGGCCCTCTCTGTGAGGGCATGGGATGAAGGGTGCTCCCAGCAACTGTGCAGCCACAACAGGGTGGAAGGTGGCAACAGCCACAGGGTCCTGTGTGGAACAGGGACCTGCTTAGTCAAGTACACTTGCTTGTGGCTTCCAGACTTGATGTGTTCAATTAGTCCCTTGGCTATTGGCATGAAAGGGTGGATGGGAGAAGCGAGGGTAGAGCTATTTGCTTCTTAAAGGCAGGCAGAAGAAGAGTAAGAGGAAAGTGGAGCCTTTTTTCCCTGGGGCCAGGTAGAAGTGAAGGGGCTGGCTTAGTGGTCTGGGAAAAAAAAAATGGTTTGGAGGGGAAAAAAAAATGTAGGTGCTAAGAAAGATTTGAGCAGAGAGACAGAGAGAGATGGGGCTGTGGCTGCTCCAAGCAGAGGGGGAGAGATGGAGTAGCTGGAGGGATGTTCCTGCAGGAGGAGAAAGCTTCCCTGAGGGGAAGAGGCCCCAGTGCTAGTAGAGGAGAGTAGTTCCTGAACAGACTTGGGCCTGGAACCTGTGATCCTGGTCAAGTGGGTGAGAAAACCCTAGCTGAGGGTGCAGTGCTGACCCTGGGGTTTGGTCAGGGGTAGCTCTGTGCCTCTGCTGGGACTTGAGGCATGCACGGAAGGGGACACAGTGTTGGCCAGACTCCTGCCACCCTGACACGAGTGCTCTTGAGTGCTCATACTTGTCCTGCCTCCTGGGAAGGAGGCTGGGTGTGCACACTGGAGGCCAGCGCATTTACCCCCTCCCCCTCACACACACATACACACACATACATGCTTCCCCCCTATTTATTTAGCTAGATAACTTCTTCATTTCTCCCCCATTAGTCCCCTGGCAGGCTGTGATGTTAAATGTGCTTGTGTCTGTCTGGCTCTGGCTTGCCCAAGGTGGGGTGGAGGCTCTAGGGTCTGTGCGTGCTGCTCCCTGGAAGAGGGTGCTTGCTGGAATGGGCTCTGTCCTTGGGCTTGCTGGGGCTGGAGTGGGGAGCCCAGTGCCCTTAGCCTGCCCCTTCTCCCCCAGGGCTGCCCTGTGCCCCTAGAGCAGGGTGCGAGTCCTCGGCGTGGGGGCCTCGGCACCTCCTGCCCACGGCCTTGGCCCCGCTTTCGACCCAGCGCTGTAAAGACCCGGACCTCCGATTAAAGGCAGACAGACCAAAACCGCTGCCCTGTGCTTATTTCTGTGCTCTGCAGGCCAGTGCTGGTCAGGCCTGGGGTGGCGAGGTGGGGACAGAGCTGAGCAGCCATGGGGCTCTCCAGGGGAGCCTGCGGTGGGGAGCTGAAACGGGCGGGTGCTGTGAGGTGGGGCCCTGTGGTAAAGCGAGGCCTGGCAGTGTTCTGGGTTAAAAATAACTGTGAAATGGGAATGGCAGAGGCGGGGTGGGGGAAAGAGGAGAGAGGTTATTTTTAACCCAGTCTGCAGCAGCGCCTGGTTCTGGCACTGGTCTGCAGTCACCCTGCGTTTTTTTCAGCAGCAGAAACATTGTCCTGAGCTTAGTGCATATTCCCTGGCCTGCTCCTGCTGCCCCTGCTCCCTTATCCCAGCACGCTGCCTGCCCCCCTTCCTGCTTACGTGTGCCCTGGCATGAGGATGGTGCCCTGCAAGCAATGCAGCCCCAGGGCTCCCGCTCAGCAGGGAGTGCTGGGCCCTTCTGCGGCCTCGCTCGGGCCGGGTGCCCCAGGCCAGCGCTTTGGAAGCCTGCCCCGCTGGCTGCTGAGCCCAAGGCGCCTGCTCGAGGAGCTGTGTTTGTTTGCTCGGCTCATAGTGACGGTGCCCTGCACGTCCCCAGCGCTCGCGGCTCCTGCAGCTTCAGAAGCCCTGCAGCGTTGAGGGGCAAGGGGAAAGTCCTGCTTGGCCTACGGGATGGGATCGCTTTCTGCAGGAAGGGATGCTGCTGGGGAGAGGTTCAGCTGGTGGAGAAGGGGGCTAGGCTGCAATTGCTTCTGATGAGGTGGTGTGGGGAAAGCTTGGGAAAGGTTCCCCTGGGATACCCCAGGTGCTGGAAACATGGAGTTCCGCAGGGGGCACTGAAGCAGGACCTAGGAAAAGGCAGCAGTGAGGAAAGCCCTGCAAAGAGCTGCCTCAGAGCGGCTTGTGGGCATGGGGGCAGCCAGGAGAGGTGCCCGCTGTGGTGGCGCGGAGCGTCAGCCCAGCCCACGCTGGCCTTGTCTATGGGCTCTGACTGTGTCACATGGGGATGGGACCAGGGCACACGTGGTGCTTTCATCTGGCACGAGGGGCAGCAGTGCAGGGGTGGAAGGCAAGTGGGGGATGCCCTCTGACCTGCAGGAGAAGGGTCCTTTAGGACCACAAACAAGCTTGCCCAAGGCTGCCCCCTGCATGGGGAGGCCCCAGGAGGCTCCACCAGCAGCTCCTCGTGGCTGCTGCCCATGCTGGGCTTGCTGAGCAAACTGGAGCTCGCAGCGGGCAGGCAGACACCCCTGGCTCGCTCTGAGCCAGGCCRTGCTGGCGGATCCCCATGCCAATGTGTGCCCCAGAGACCTAGGCTTATAGCCCTGGTGCAAGCGGGTGGGGGGGTGTTCAGAGACGGGCCCATCCGAGGAGCGTTGGAGCCTGCTCGCTGCTGCTCAGCCACGGCGCCTGCCTTATGTCTCTGTGTCCAGGATGAAAGTGGCACCCTGCAGCGCAGCAGCTCCCTGGGGAAGATCCGGGAAGTGATACGCAGGAGCAGTGAGATGTTGGTGAAGAAACTGCAGGGCAACGGCCCGTTGGAGCCCAGGAACACCAGGTAGGTCCTCTGGGCAGGCACGCGGGGCAGGGCTGGTAGTAGTGCTGCCCCGGGCCTGCGTGTGAGCTCCCGCGCACTCCCCTCTGCTTCCTTGCAGCATGAAGCGAGCTGCGTCGCTCAACTACCTGCACAAGTCCAGCGATGCTTCGTTCGAGGTGAGCGCGGGGCTGGAGTGGTGGGCAGAGTTCTGTGGGACACAGCGGGATGTGTGGGAACAGCCTCCTTTCYTGGGTCGCAGTGTCGCCTCTGTGTTCCGCTTGGGAGCAGGAAGGGCAGTGCTGGCACCCTTAGGGTTGAGGCAACCCCCAAGGAGTCGCAACTTGCCCAGGGAGTCGCCAGAGGGTCTTGGGGGAATGGGTGGGCGCTCCGGCTAATGGCACTGCTCTGCTTTATTCCAGGGCACCCAAGGCCTCCGCGCTGAGAGCAGAGGCCTGAGCGCCAGCAGCATGGACCTCTCCTTGCACAGCTCCCTGCTGGCCTCCAACTGAGCGGCCCGCGGGCACAGCCCGGCTTTCACGCAGCGCGGGGCAGCCCCCCAGCACCCTTCCTGCCTCCAGCACTCCCCTCTGCCTGGCGCCGCCCCGGCGCCGCCCCCTGCGCGCCGGCCACGGGCCAGCAGACCTTGGCGCGCAGGGCAGCCCAGGCACCGTGCATGCTCCTCTCCCCTGCGTGCCCGCGGTGGGCAGCAGCTTTGGTGGTGGTGGTGGTGGGGTGAGCGCCAGGGTGAGCTGCGGGGTGGCACAGCCTCCCCCAGCCCGGAGCCTGCCTGCGGCAGGGGTGCTGCCAGCACCCGCTCCAGCTGGGAGAGCGGGATGCCGGGGCGCACTGGGGCCCTGCCTGCCTGTGACGCACCCCGCCCCAGATCGCTGTACTTTATTTTATTAAATAAAACCTGTCCTAGAAGCGAAGAAGGGGGAGAGGCTCCATTGCAGCGGGGAATTGTCTTTGAACGTATGAGGGTAAAYGTACAGGGAGCTTGCGTGTGAGGTGTATGTATGGGGGTTGCACATCTGGTGAGATGTATGTATGGAGACCTGTTTAAGGRGAGTGTATATAGAGAGGGTACATGTATAGCAGCAAGTATATATGGGACGTGTAAGCATGGGAGATACATGTGTGGTGGGATGCATGGATGAGGGGAGTGTGTATGTGGGGGGGCGGGTGTATGGGAGTGTATGGATGGGGGGTGTATGGATGGGACATGTATATGCGAGAGGCGGTGTGTGTATGGAGTGTATGTATGCTGGGGCATACGGGGGTGTGGGGGCAGGGGGCGCCTGGGGGGCGAATGTAGCGGGAGGGAGCGCTCTGGCCGGGGGTCGCGCCGTGGCTGGGGGCTTCACTGTCGCCGGGGGTCGGGCTGTGGTGGTCTGGGCGGCGCTTGGGGAAGTGCCACGCATGGCCTGTGCTCGGTTGTGTGGCCGGGAGGCGCCGCGGGCCAGAGACGCGCGCCCCGCGGGGCGGACTGGCGGGAGCGCGCGGGCCGCCGTGACGTCAGCGCCAAGGGCGGTGGCGGGCGCGGAGGGCGATGGCGCGCATCACGCTGGAGGACCTGGGCGGCCTGGGCGAGGAGGAGGAGGAGGAGGAGGAGGAGCGGGGGCACCAGGAGGCGGCTGCGGGGGAGGCCGAGGAGGCCGAGGACGAGGAGGGGGCGCGGGGCCAGCTGTTCGCGCACTGGGAGGCCGTGGCCGGCACACACCGGGTGAGCCTGCCCCGAGGTGAGCAGCCGCAGCGCGGGGGGCCAGGCGGCGGGGCCCCCCCGCGGCCTCGCCTCCCGCCCACCTTGCCTTGCAGACATGGCGGGCCCCATCGCCCAGATGACCCGGCACGGGCGGCTGCGCGAGCCCGTGCCCTACGCCACCCTGGCGCGGAGGGACAAGGTGAGGCCTGCCGCTGCCGCTGCTGCTGCCGCTCCCTGCCTGCTGCCGAGGGGTCCTGTGAGGCGGGGACACGCGGCGCCCCCTTCCTTGCGCGCCAACCCCCCGCCCGGCCTCACCGTGCGCTTCCAGCCTCCTCCCTTCCCGGCCTGCCCTTCGCTGCGGGGTGCAAATCCTGGAGCGTGACGGCGCGGATTCCAGCTCAGAGGCGAGGAGGCCAGCGCTGGGGCTCAGGGGATGTGCTCCGGGGTCCCGCTCCTGTTCAGGAAACACGACCGAGCCGGGGGGCTTGAGCCAAGTGACCCAGGGCTCTACCACCCTTCCTCTTCTCCGGGGTCCCAGGGGGCTTTCCCAGCTGAGGCGCTTCTCGACGGGCACTGATTCCAGGCTCTGCCAAACCAGGGGTGGGTCGAGTCTGCTGCTGGCCCACTCTCTGTGCTGGGGAAYGGTCCCTGGAGCCCAGCTGGGGTTGGGTGAGGAGCCAGGAGCCCCCCACGCCTTAGTACACATGGTCCTCACACGGTCAGAGCCATGGTCCCAGCTCAGGTTGGTGGGGAGCTGCCCCTCTTGAGCCTTGAGTCTGTGCACGAGCCTTGTTCCTCTTAGAGGCAACTGGGCTCTCATGCCGCCTAGCTGAGTCCAGCATTGCCAGACCTGGCCTTGCAGAGTGGTAGTGGCTACTGCAAGGCTGCAAGAGGAGCGGACCCCAGGCCTCAGTGGGTTGATAGGTTTCTTCTCAGAGGTAGGAGATGATGTGTCCAACCCCTAGGTGATTTGCAAACCCTTTGGTTTGGCTTTCTAAGCAGACACCTGGCTTGGTTCAGGGTGTAGGAACTGCCACYCAGCACTGGGGCAGGTTGTGAGTTCCTGGCTCACCTAGCACATGACAACTGACCTGTGGAGCCTGCAGGTTCATACAGGAAGCAGCAGCAGATCCATGTGTAAATCATCCCCCACAGTGTCTTTGCTGGCTTTGTCCAGAAAGAAATCTGCCCTGGAAATAGGGATTCTGACCCATCTTGCAAAGCTCTGTGCTTTGCTCCATGCCTCTTCTTCATCAGCTCAGTTCTTGGATGTAGAGAACACRTGTTCAGCCTTCACAGCCTTTGCAGGTGCTAGAGCTCTTGTGCTGTAGCTGGATGTTCCCCTCTTGGGCACGAGAACCTGCTAATCTCCACGTGCTCCAGGGAAGGGGCTACGAATCTGATCAGACTTCCTGGAAGTGTCTGGGTGCCTGGAAYTAGGAACATCCTTTGAAGCAGGCAGGATGGAGCTTGGAGAGAAGCAGAAAGTCCGCTTGTGCATGACCATGACCTTGGCTTGTGCCTTGGGGCCTCCCTGTGCCCCCATCCACGCTGGTCCTTTTGCAGCACCTCACCTGCCACATTGCAGACACACTTAACCCTGACGTGTCTTTCCCTGTGGCCTGTCGCAGTGCGAGGAAGGAGCCTACGAGGAGCGACAGTACCCAGCGGGGAAGTGGGCCTGCGTCACCAGGGGGGAGCCCTTGTACGAGCAGAGCATCTCCCTGAGCTTCATGAAGCTCATGCGCTACATCTGCAAGGAGAACTCTGGAGGTGTGTGCAGGCTGGCGGGGGGAGGCCACAGGGGAGGACCAGTCCCACCGTGGTCCACACGGAGTGGGGCGGGAGGCCGCCACCAAACGCCCTGTYTCACTGTGCCCGCCACCTCCCTCCAGGTTGCTATCTGGGCATGACAGTACCAGTGCTAAATGAAATCCACCTGACCAAGGAGGGGACCGAGCTGGCACGCGACGTCCTCACTGCCTTTTACCTGCCAGGAGCATTCCAGCAAAACCCTCCTATCCCCATGGATCCCGAAATACACATCATAGAGCGGGCGCCGCTCCGAGTGATAACCAGGTGACCCCAGCAGGTCTGCAGGAGCTCTCTGCCAGGCTCTGCTGCCTTCTCCCGAGCCCTGCGCCCCAGGSTGGCGGCTCTGGCTGCAGGAAGGGCCTCATGTTGGGAGAGCAGCATTGCTGACACTGCTCGCTTTGCCACAGGGTTTTCTATGGGATGACCACTGAAGAGACAATCCTGCGAGAGATTGGGCTCCTTTGGGAGCTCCTGGGCTCCACAGACACAGTGCTCCGGGAGACCTACATTGTGGCTGTCTATGAGAACCCCAGCATCCCTCAGCGCCGCAATGAGATCTGGTTCATCCGCCGGGCAGAGTGAGGCCTCACCCTTGACTGCAGAGCATCCTGGGGCCGCAGGCGGCAATTCCCACCTGCAGGAGATGAAAAGCATCCTGAGGCCGCCGCTCGCCCCTGCGGCGGCAGCGCGGGAGGCGGCAGCGCGGGAGGCCGCGCTCTGCCAGGCCCGCGCACCCGGCTGGGGGAGACATGGTGCAGTAAAACAGTGGGGCCTGGGGCAACATGCTGACTTGGCCAGGGCTGTATTCCCTTAGCTCTGTGCTGGGATTGCAGGAGCGTGCTGGGCACGTGATTGGGGCCTGTGGCATCAAGGCCTTGTCCCTGAGGGCCTGGCTCACCCTGGGGACCACAGAGCGGGAGCGGAGCCGGGGCTGGCTGCACGCGCGGTGCTGCACAGGGCTCCTGCTGGGATGGCGCTCAGGCCATCGCGGAGCCCGCGGAGGCGCCGGCAGCCTCCGTGCGCGGCAGGTGCCATGCGGGGCCACGTGCCRAGCAATGGGTCCCGCTGGCCACAGCGCCCAGCGCGCGCCGCGTCGCTGCTGCGTCTCACCCCTGCCGGCACTCATGCGCTTTCCGGGGGGAAGCCGGTGGTGCCAACAACAAATAAACCCAGCTAAGCCCAYGTGGCCTGCGGATCCCTGTCTCTGGCGAGGGTGGGGGATCAGGCTGGGGTTCCCCCTKGGCAAAAAATGTCCCCTTTGCTGGGGGGCGGACCACTTGGGGTCAATACTGGGTCTGGTCTTCACTGGTGAGCTGGGCACAGTCTTGAGCAACCTGCCTGGGAACTCTGCACAGCGGCCGCTTCGGACCTCGGGGGCTCTGCGGAGAGCGGGAGCGCAGAGGCCATTGGGAGTCCGGAGGCCACGGGGCGCGTGGAGGCCATGGGCGAGCAGAGGCCATGGGAGTGCGGAGGTCACAGGCGCGCGGAGGCCACGGGGAGCACAGAGGCCACGGGCGAGCGGAGGCCACGGGCGTGCGGGCTGCCGCGTGCTCCCCGCACGGCCGCGCACCCCGGGCCCGCCATGGGGCGGCCGCTGCGGGGCGGCTGGGGCGCCGGTCGCAGCCCCGCGGGCTGGCGGTGGCAGGAAGCGGCGGTCGCCACACGAGGGCTGSGGTTGCGCCCGGGGAAGCCTCGCGCGGCTCCCTCGGGGACCCCGCGGGACGGGGCTGGGGGAGGCCGCCCGCGGGGGGAGGCTCGCGGGGAGGCC